ATCTATCTATCAATCAATCTATCTATCTATCTATCTAATTAATCTTGTCTATCTAATCTATCTATCCATCTTTCTGTCTTTCCATTATACATACATACCGTTACATATCTAACTATCTATCTATCCATCCATCCATTCATCCATCTATCTATCTACCTACCTATCTATCATTCAAACATGTCAACACACTGAGGCAACCATTGAACACATGGCAAACGCATTTCTGCCTACACATGTTCAACTCATCCTTGTTTTCATCAACTTGATCATTTATGACCACGCTAAAATTTTCATGACCAAAAGGACTGACCAATTACCCTCTGGTATTCTACCAGTTTGCCATTGAACATCGCCATGTTCAACAGCTAAAGATAAATCATCCACAAAATTGTTTCCTTTCCATGGCCAACCTTCTCAAATATCTCAAAGTCAAAATATCTCAAATAATCAAGCCGGGTAGTCAGATGTAGCTCGTCTTCCCACCAGACAACTTCCAAGGCTCACCCATACAATGTACCAAATGTGCCAGCACTGGCACGGTCTCAACACCTCGGATGGTTCATGTCTGAATTCTTGGGCTCCAATGCCCAGTTTTCTGACAAATCATGTCAGTCAGATAACTTACTGGTGCGTTTTACGCCGGGAATTTTCGGGAATGATCCATAATCGCTAGTAATAATCATCCCATAATTACCCCCAGCAACCCATCCATTCCCTACTAGTTACTAAGCACCAGTAAGATAACGATGGATTTTCACTGCAAAAGATCATCCCATCCCAGCCTTCTCCTTTGAACTCGAGACTGCGTTTGTCTTCTGCCCACGGATCACATTTCGCCTTTCCGAGCAATCTCCATGAATCAGGTCACTGAGGTGGTTTTTCTGTGAAAATCTCCAGGTCTTCAATGGTTTTGACCCCCAAAATCCCAGCATTTTTTCGGGGTTTCCTAAGGGTTTCCTAAATCATGTTGTCATTTCCTGCAGATTGCCACCATTTTCCAACCCAGAAAAAAATCAGGGCTTCCAAGGCTGGCGCCTGGATGGCCAAATCTACAGACTTCAGGTGGCAGCTCGTCGAGCGTTTCAGGTAGGCCAGGCCTTTGACAAAGTCTGGCGGAGAAATGCACAGAAACAGCTTCCATGGATTGGTTTAAGGGAAAATTTACAGGGAAAATCCCCATTGTTGGTTGGTAACTCGCAAAGACCAATCCCAAATGCTGCCGCGCGAAGTGCAGCTGCCAAGATGCAAAAGCAAAGGGCCACCCTTTTCACAGCGGGGTGGCAGGACATGTAGTCACTAGCTCAAAGCCTAAGGCATTCCCTGACCCTATGGGGCAATTGGGCCGGAAGGCCAAAATGATGGAAAAGTAAAATGCTAATGTCCACCTGGAATGTGCATGAATGTGTGGAGCACAATTCACACCGGTGAAAAGTAAAAGTTGGAAAAATGGCACTTAGCTATCGCCAAAACGCACCCGGCAGGTTTCACCTGTTGGGGCTTGATTCGCCTCACGTGGCTCGCACAGCATTGGCAAACAGTGAGTGCACCAAGTCCTGTGGTAGATGGGCCTCGTGGTGCGGCTTCTCAGGCATTGATAGTTGGCGTGCCACGCCTGTCCCGATGCAGTGAAGTAAATCTCCTGCTGGGCAGCTTCGATGATCGTCCGTTGGCGGCTGTGGTTGAAGTCGCCGATGATGGTGTGCAGATCCTCGTTGGAACGCTCATAGTCCCGAACCCGATCTTGAGCTTCATCCAGTAGCGTCTCCAGGTTTAACTTCTGCTGGAGGAGGTCGTGCAAGTCATCCATCAAAGGATCGTCATCGGTCTGTGTGGCCATTTCATTGCTCTCTGGGGTGTGCGCCTCTTCGAGGTTACTGTCCTTCCAGAGTGCAGTGACTGTTGCCAGCGCCCTTCGTGGCAAAGTGATCATCCACCGGCAGGTGGCAATCGCTCCGATCACCAAGAAGTAGCCCATGACAATGGCCATGATCGTGGTGAAGAGCTCGCCTTCAGAGTCCAGGTAGTTCAGATTGTAGGTGTTGGTGGTCTTGTTCTCAATCGCATAGGTCTCGTTCAGGTCAAAGTCCATTGCAGCGGCTGCTGAAGTGCAGAAGGCTGCAAACATAGTCGCTGTTGCCGTTCTTGGAGGTTTTCGAATTGCATACTTCTCTGTGCCTTTCTTTCTTTCTGCGGCTGACTTTTTCTTGCTTGCTACAAAGTCTTCATCGCTTTTCAAGCGGGTCAAGTGGCTCCTCAGTCGATCTGCAAGAAGTTGGGCTGCACTGGCTTTTGTGAGTCCATCTGAGTATTGCAACTCCGAACTCACCCACATTGTTGTTGCATTGCAGCAGCGCAACTTGTCTTGGGTTACCAAAACTTCAATTGCAGTTCGTTTGTCGGTGGAGCTTCCAGCTTGAATCTCTTCTCGCACAAGCATGTCAAACAAAGCTTTTGCGTCCACCACAAGCTTCGGCTGGTTGGGGATCTGGGCAGTGCGGATGTCATCCAAAGGAAGCCAGGGGCTCCAAATCAATCGCCAAAAGGTTGTGGCGAAGAGAAGAGCATCAGCGGCTTCTGATGCCGCTTGGCTTTCAGCAGCCAAGGTGGATCTTGACACCCTTGCCAGTTTCCATGAGCGCCAGTCCACAATGTTGTAGTGTCCTTCTCCACCACTGGTGACGTCACGGTGCGTCATGATGAGAAGGTAACCTCCTTGGCTTGAAAGATCATCTCGCGATGCAAATGAGGCATCGGAGTAGCAGGCAAAGGTGACCTCATCCTTGGACCCAAGATGCCTAAACTCCAAACCTGCATCTTGATTCTGTTTGGCAAAACGTAGGCACTTGTTGGCGGTGTCCAAGGTGGATGTTGTTGCCTTTGAAATCTGTCCAGCCAAGGTAGACACCATACATTGTAGGTGTGGACTGGTTTGTGTTGCGGGCCATTGAAGTCCACCAACCAATCCCCTCAAGGATGTACGCTCACGGTCCGTGACCTCATCATTTGAGCCATGTCGTTCCTTGGGGTAGGTGATTGGCTTTTGTTTTGTCAGGTACTTCTCATGGTGGATCTTCCAATGGTTGTCACCAAGTTTGGTGATCTGGGCCCCGCAGTACTCCAGCTCGTTCTTGTCATTGCTGGTGATCCATTCACGAAAGGTGAAGATGGATTTGAGGTTGTTCAGCAGCTTCTCGGTCTCAGCATCATCCATGTAGCATCCAAGGATATCATCAACATGGATGCCAAAGAGCGCCAGAAGTCGAGGTGGATCAGCGCCATCTTCTGGTGGAGGATGTACTGGACGGTCATAGGCCAGGAAGAGGCAGGCATCAAGTGGATGCTGCACTATGGTTCCATTGCCCATGTTGAGGATCCTTGTTGCTGCTTCCTCGTACCAGGCTCTTGGAGCATCACATAGGCCATACATTGGCTTGACCAACTTCATCAACTTGCCATGACCTGGAGGTAGGCCCAAGAGAGCTTCGCCATCTCGAGGAAGCTTCACCCAAATGGTCCTGTTGGACTCAGGGGAGAATTTTCTGCCTTGCAGAAAGGCTGTTGAGATGTCGCTGGTGAAGATAGTCATGCCCATCATGGTGGCCACTGTCAGGATGTAGTTCCTTGACAATCTGGTCAAAGTAGGGCTCGCTGTCGACAAAGTTCCACCCAAGGCATCAGGGTCTTTGAATCCCTGTACCACCAGTCGGGCCTTTGCCCTAGGGGTTCCATCTTCGTTCTTCTTCCAGTTCAAGATGAACCTTGCCTTGAGCACCCTTTCCACAGGCGCATTTGACGCATCGTCAAAAAGCCAAACTTCGTTGTTGAAAAAGCTTTCCAGCTCCTTCTTCTTGGCCTCCATGAAGGTCAGTCGGTCGTCCAAGCTCAGGTTGCGCTCGGTCACCGGCGCATTGCTGGTGGTCTGGCTGTTGACATTGTCCTCGTTGTAGAACATGGTCTCCTTCCCGTCGCTCTTCTCCATGTAGAGCTTCTGAGCTGTCTTGCGCCAGGAAGGTGCCAGCTTGAAGCGCGTGTAGCCTGTCCAGAACTTGGAGTTCAGCTTCTTGTTGACCGTAGGTCTTGTCCATCTGTCTCGAACCAAACTGGTTCCCATCTTCGTGTAGCGGTCCTTGGTGAAGTAGTTCAGCGGCAGTGGGCAATTGTCCTCCGTCAGCTGAAAGTCAGAGTTCCTGGGCACGTAGTGCTTTCTGGTCAGGTAGTTGCCTTCCAACTTCCACTCATCTTTGATGTCATCCATGACGATCATGCCCTTGTCCAAGCGCCATCCAGTTGGCAGGTTGTTCTCCTTCAAGAGGTCGATGTCGATGGTTGCGTTGAGCGCATCATCTCTGGACAGAGGCTTCTCCGAGTATGGAGTTGGTCTTGGTTCAGCAGGTCGTTGTGGACCATAAGCAGGTGCTCCAGGTTGTTGAGGTCGGAACAGTAGAGATTCTTGTCGTGCATGTCGTGCACGTTGTTGGGCAAAGGTCTCACCACTGGCAGGGGCTTCATAAACTTCTCGTTGTTGATCAGGAATTTCAACGCCAGGTGGTGGTAGTACCGAAGGTACTATGGCAGGTTCAGCCATTGGTTCTTGGCTCATTGGTGACATTGACGGTTGAAGTGGAGGTAGATCTTCAGGTTGTTGTTGTTGTTGTTGTTCTTCAGGGAGAGGTTCAAGTCCATTGGTTCTGGTGTTGTTGGAATTGTCCGTAGGACTTGTAGTTGTTGTTGGGGCTGAGGCTTCAGCGCTCGGTGGTTCTTGTTCAGATTCTCCAGCATGAGGTGCTCCTCCAGGATGTACTTCTTCATCTGAATCAGGTCCATCTCCTTGATATGGTGTGCCAGGGCTGTACTCATTCTCGTTGTCAGACAGCTGGTCAGTCTTGATGAAGAAGGTCGTTGTGCCAGTCCAAACATAGTGAAGTTCCCTGTCCGAGTTGGGTGTTCGCCACTCATCTCTGATCCTGATGTGCTCAGGGTTTGGATGTCCTCTGCGAACGTCTGTTGCTCGTTCTGGTTGAAAGAGGTGGATCGGGACATCAGCTGTTGGCTCGGGCACATAGAGCTTGCGTCTTGGAATGTTGTGGATTCGAGTCCAAAGTCTTCCATCTTCTGACACATTCCACCTGTCTGGTGGTAGCTCTTGTCCTGGATATTGTTGCATGTCCTCATCGTGCTCGTCCTCCTCCTCATCAGTGGCAACTTCATCGCGTCTGCGCTTGTTGCTCTTGGGGAGGTCAATGTACTGCGTCACACCACGGCCTCTGATGTTGGACAGAGACTGCTTTGCTGTGTCCAAGGGATCTCGAGGTCGTTCTGTGAGATCTTGGACTGGTGTGGCAGCTTTGACATGTTCAGGAGCTGCACGTAGGAGAACTGTTCCATGAGCAATCCAGTAGATGTCGGTGTGGTGGCCATGTTGACCTTGTTCCCTCATGATGACAGTGGCTGGTCCACGCCATTTCAGCTTTGCAGTAGATCCTGCTGGAGTGTCTCTCCAGTAGTAGCACAAGTCGCCTGGTTGAAGAACAACAGGTTGGCCCATGTACTTGCGCAGCAGGGCACGTCTCAGGCGGAAGTCAGTGTCGGCCTCAATCATGGCCTTGTTGGCCTCTTGTCGCAAGCGCAGCTTCTCCATGAACTTCTCGGAGGGGTCAAGGTGTGCTGGATTGCTGAGGGAAGATTCCTCAGACAGCAAGCCGGGCACATGTGGTGTGTAGCCCAGCACCCATTGTATGGGGCTGTATCCATGCACATTTGGGATCCTGTTCAGCTGCGGCACAATGTAGGTCAAGGCAATGATGAGGGCGTCCTTGTCAGCAGCGACACCAGGGTTGGATTCCAGGAAGAGGGAAATCGCCCTCCTTGTCACCTGATGCCTTCGCTCCAAAATGGCCAATCTTGTATGAGATTGCCCAGGAGAAATCACCAATTGGATCCCATGTTCAGTCGTCCATTCTCGCATGGCATCTGATGCCCAAGCCCTGTGTTCATCAACCTGCAGGGTCTTCATGGGTCCAAAGAAGCTGATCCAGGCAGCTTCAATCTGCTTGATGTACTCCTCAGAGGTCTCGGCCTTGATGAAGCGAGCTGCAAGAAGTCTCGTGTGAGCATCTGACATCATCAGCACCGGAAGCTTGTGCTTCACCCCAGGAACTTTCACCCACAGAGTGTCAGCTTGAACTCTTTGATTGAAGGTGGTGTCCTTGGGCATGCTCGACACGGGTACTCCACTGGGACGTTTGTGAAGATCACATAGTCCACATTCATGGTCTTGGGCAGCTTGTAGTAGAGCAGGTCCAGCATTCTTGGTCTTCAGCAACCTGATGAGCTCTTTGTTGGATGGATGGCCCAAGTTGCGGTGCAGCTTGGTGATTGTCCTCTTGGCAGCTTGGCGGTCACATTCATCCAAACGTTGAAGGACTCCACGGCGTTGTCGAACTTCAGCATGTTGATCTTGTTCAGGAGATGGTGTGTCAGGCCAAACCTCAGACAAGTTCTCGAAGTCAAGCTCCGGAGGAAGTGAGGTCTCATCGGCCATGTCATCACCTGCATGAATACGCTCGTGGGTCACCAAGGTCTGCTCATGCTCCTGGTTGATGAAGAGGTTGATGATTGCCTGAACGATGCAGCTGCAGAAAACTCCTTGATAAACTGCAGAAGCAGCAGCACGGTTGCCAACTCCAGGTGAACTGCCCTCAATTGGCAAATGGTAGTGGTCACCTGGGCACAAGAGTGAGAGCTCGTTGGCCATGTGCTCGTCCGTGCATTGCAGTCGTGTTGGTTTCTTGATATATTGGTCCATCCCATTCTCATCCGCCATCATCACTTCAAACTGGCACTGGTCCAAGTTGCATTGGTATCCTGGAAGATCATGCAAGGTGGTCGTCTTCCAGCTCAGTGCATACCTTGGTTGCTCCAAGGCGGCATGCCTTCCTTCACGCCTCTGCTTCAAGTAGCTTCGGCGACACATCTTCAAGTGGACCTTCTCGTGGTAGTCGCGCTCAGCTTGAAGTGCCATTTTTCGATCTTCGGTCAAGGCATTGAGTTGTTGAAGAGGGGACCAATCAGTGCATTTGGGGCTGTACCAAATGAAGTCAGGGCAAACTTGATCTTGTAGTTGAAGAAATTCTTTCCGGTGGGCTGCAACATCAAAATCCCAGCCCGTGTTGTAGTCAAAGGTCATGACATCCCAACCACAATCCCGCATCACCGAAGACAAGTTGCCAGAACCACTGTAGACTTCCCAAAAGGTGCGGCGTCCAGTCTGGTAGGCATGCAACACCTGTTCAATGGTGTCTTTGCGACGCCGGTTGAAGCTGTTGAACTCCATGTGCATCGTTTTGATCAACTTGTCAGTGATCGGTCGCCTCACAGCAGCGGGATCATCTTCTTGGAAATCTTCAAAACTTTCAGTGGGTGTTTCTTCCAAGGTTGTGTCTTCCTCCAAGAAGGCTTTCTCAGGAGGGCTGCGGTTGGTCATGGAGAGGTACTCATGGATGTTGATGTAGTCAGCCAGGTCGTCATAGTTGTTGATCGCTGTGCAGGTCTCGCTGGTGACATAGTCGAAGGCAATGTGATGTCCTTCAGGGTCATCTTCCAATCCATGGTCCAGTTGCAGAAGGTACTCTCCTTTCTCACCCATTGTGGTGTCTTTCCATTCACCGTCTTGGACAGAGATCTTGTTCTGGTTGTAGTCAATCTTGATGTTGAGCGCCTGCAAGATCGGTCGGCCGATCAAGAGAGGCGTACTGCCCTCGACGATGAAGGTCTCGATGTAGCCTGGTTGGCCTTCGATGTAGACTGGAAGTCTGACAGACCAGTCTGATTTTCGGTTGGCATCACCCCCAAAGCCAAACAGCTTGTTGGTCGCCATGAACATGAAGCGCTCGATGGGCACGCCTCGCATCACCAGGTGGTCCACGATGTTCATCAAGACGTCATGGCCACAAACCACAGACGATGCACCACCATCTTGGATTCCAAAGAAACCATCGTTGCCAAGCAATGGCAATCCCTTGGGGACTTGCTTGGCCAGGTCGCGCACCATCATAGTTGATTCCGTCTTAGCCTTCTTTGAAGGTGAGGAGGTAGTCGATGACGTAGGGCTCGCCTTTGATGTAGGTGAAGTGCAGTTTGCCGCCCAATGTCCAACTTGTCCACAACGTAGACATCGCGTAGCATTGGCCCTTGAGGCAGCAGAACCACGTTGTGGTGGATTGGATTGTCGCAGGGATGGCTTCCCCTTGATCTTGCCCTTGCCTTTGCCCTTGCTTTTGCCTTTCGAAGGGCTTCGTGGTGCCTGTGAACTTGCTGGCATAGATTGTCCCCCATCCGTCAAGGCAACGACAGGGAAGTAGCCTCGAGCAGCTTTCATCTGGGCGAAGTGTCGCCTGGCATCAAGGTATGAGGCGTATGCCTCCTCAAGTTCACCTCCATCATCCAAGGGCTCGTCCGGGAAGTCCGCGTCCTCATAGTCGGCAGCGTTGTAGGTGTCCTCGTTGTAGGACTCATCCCAATCATCACCATAGTCTTCACCATAGAGTTCATCGTCATCCCATTGTTGGTAGGCATAGTCCTCGGGGTAGATCTCCTCGGCGTCATAGGTCTCCTCAGTCAAATAGCCATGCTGTCTGTTGGACCATCTCCCATAGGTTCGTCCCTTGTTCCACTTCGTGGTTGCATCATGGGACTTGCCTTTGTAGTCTTGGCCCAACAAAAAGTACATCGCCTCCACAACCTTGTCGTAGGACAGCTTGGGGCATTGACTTTGGATCAGCTGCTTTTGTTCTCCTGAGAGACCTGAGCGCCTCAAAAGGATCCAGCCACTCACTTTGTCAGACACTTGAACTCCATGTTTTTCAACTTCATGTAGTGCTTCTCGATGGTCCGCCACATAGGACAGCAAGGTCTGCTCTGGTCGCCTCGTTGTCCCATAGAAAAACTTCTCAAAGGCACGAGGCATCTCAACATCCTCTTTGTAGCGGAACGTAGAGTCCAACTCACTGAGAATGAGGTCAAAGGCACCCTCATCTTTTGACAAAATCGTCTCCACCTTCGGCTCCAACTGTCGCCAGGCCACGCCATGCAAGCTGGTCAGGACGTTGAGCACAGCTTCTTTCCCTTTTCCTTGTAGCTCCAGCTTTCGGCGGTAAAGGCCAATGCGTTGGCGCCATTCACGGTAATCACCAGGCTTGTTGTTGAACACTGGGATGTAGGTGTCCTTCAGCAGCTCCATGCCAGTAGTGCTCGAAGTCGATGTAGCAGGGTCTCCAGATGTCGGCATCGTCGAAGACCAAGACCACGGGAGGTAGTAGAGGGTGATGAGGTTGTAGTAGCGCAGTGGATGGGCGTAGTTGATCTGGTAGGTGAAGGTGTCCAGGTTGTAGTGAGGTAGAAGGGCTCTGGAGCGCAATGCTCCGCTACCAATGTTGGTTGGTAACTCGCAAAGACCAATCCCAAATGCTGCCGCGCGAAGTGCAGCTGCCAAGATGCAAAAGCAAAGGGCCACCCTTTTCACAGCGGGGTGGCAGGACATGTAGTCACTAGCTCAAAGCCTAAGGCATTCCCTGACCCTATGGGGCAATTGGGCCGGAAGGCCAAAATGATGGAAAAGTAAAATGCTAATGTCCACCTGGAATGTGCATGAATGTGTGGAGCACAATTCACACCCATATTTTAATATATTTTAAGGGAGAATCATGGAAAATCCGTGGTTTCCGGTGAAGATGTTCTCTTAAACCAATCCATTCACAGCTGGAAAAAGGGGATGAATGGAGGGTACATAGCTGAAAAAAGGGATGAACATGGATGAACTTGCAATGACCACTGAAGATCATTATAGTGAAGGTTGAAGGGTGGCCACGGGAGGAACAGCATGACACCCAGCATGACACCGGGACATCAATCTGGCAGAATTTCCGGGAGGGCCTTTTCATGCCAGGGAATTTCATCGACTTTGAGTGTGTGATTGTGGGTGGCTTCAGCCAACCTGAAGAACTTGAAAATCATGTGCGATCATGGACAATCAGCAGCAAAACAAGTAGGAAAATGGATCCATGCGGGCACACCCCAGCCTGTGAGGGAGAAATGGAGCAAACCTTTCCTTGGCGTACTGGCTACTGGCAGCCCAAATCACCCATGAACATGCTATATTTACCCACACACCCAACACTTGCCTTGGCATCCGCTAGAGAAATATATTCGACATGTTTCTACATGAATCGGAAAAGGATGAAAAAAAATGTTATGGCTTGAGGGGGTTCCCACCAAGAGATACCAAGAGACTGAGACTTGTCGCGGACTTGCAGCATCCGCTTCTCATCGCAGGCATCCAGTAGCACTTTGAAGGTTTGGTCATTCCCCGTGAAGGACACCACCTCACCACTGGTGTGACTCACCACGGGGTGCGAAACGAGAAACGACCTTCAGGACCTGGACATTCCTGGACAATGTTTGTTGAGTCGATTCAGAACGTCTACGCACAGGTGATGAAACATGTTGGAGATTCACCCCGAAACAATATCATTTCATGACTTCATGACCCAAAGTTTTTGGCCCATCCCCATCCGATATTCCTCCATAAATGTGCCTCGAAAATTCGTTATTAACTCATTGAACCATATTGAACCACACAATTTGTGTTGCTAAACAACTTATAAGTTGGCTTATAAGCCCAGTTAAGTATTGTTGTGAAATGTTGTAATCATACGTCGTGATAGAGAGTACGTTTTCACCACGACTAAAACGACAAGGTATGCGCTACTCGTGCTACCCTCTTGTCGTGGTTTTTAATATCTTGTCGTGGTATAGATTCCACTGTCGTGGTATGACCCAACACCTCGTCGTGATATGTTGTGATCAAGATGAACCCCAATCATTCACCGAGTGAACCTTCACCAACTGAACGACATAACGAACCGCGACGCCGGGCCGCAATGAGATCATTGTCCGCCATGGGCGCTCCGCGTTCTAAGAGCCATCCTTGGGGCCGATGAAACACGGGCTGTTACATGCTGTTACTGCAGTTATAGGGGGTAAGCCCTCTGAGATGGGAATCTTTTACCTGAGTTGCTATATACATTTTAGATATTGTAAACTTTTAGTTTTTTTTCCTCAAGTCTGAAGTGCGCACCAGAAAGAACAATAAAAGCAGTTCAAAACTTTTTCAGACATGGATGTGGCATTTTGGTACTTTGAGAAGAAGAAAACAAAGCGCAAATGGCGTTGTGGAGTGGTTCTTTGGGAAGGTTGACCAGGGATGAGGGGGAAAAAACAGATGATTCGTTCCCCTAAAATTGTTATTTTACTATCTGCATCTTTCATATGTTGCAATGGTATGCAAACGACTATCCAAGTGCCCTTGAACAGTGGACTAGTAGAAAATTGACAATTATATATCAGCAAAAATGAAAGTGACCCCATATTAAACACCTTCCCCCTAAATCTAAACACCCCCTAGAAAACCATACTTTAGTAATGTCTATATAGTAATCAAGGTTTTTTGTTAGATTTCGGGACCATCGGAGATGGTTCCCCCTCCAAGCATCGGGTGGTCTCAGCGCGCCCACGCAAAGCGGCCCAGGTCAGGGCGCTCCAATTCAAAGGGTTCGTGGTCTGCAGAGATGCCTCGATGGCACCAGCCCCAACGAGGGGTGGCCAGGGGACTTGCTGAGATCCGGTTCCGTCGGTGCCAGTGATGACATGCAAACGCCTCACCAAAAAATGAAGTCAAAACTCAAGAGAGTATGAACACACAAATATACACAGTCGGTTAAGAACATAACACATAGAAACAAAAATATAATCAATATGAATCAATTATATATAACAATTTCAACATAAAGAGAATTTAAGCAGCAGGGTTTCCATGACAAGATTTGAGAACTTTCCACTATTCAAGCCTTTGTTGATACAACAGTCTGTACGTTGACCATAGTTGTGTTTCTAGCGGCCGTGTAATTATCCAACTTTATTCCCAAAACCGAAGGCAAGTCTCCAACTAACTATCAAACCTCCATGAGTTTACAATCATATAATTAATCGTATTCCAAACAAATAGCACTGTTGTGTCCGAAGGCTCCATTTTGTGTGAATGGAACTTGGCAACCATCAAACCAAATCATTTTGGATCGCTATCGCGCTGATTATAAGACTGGAATTCCCATGCGTAGCCGTTCCCGGATGTTCCCGCCTTGGCGACCAACAGCGCTTCGCACACGGCAGTCGATCCACCTAAATTCAACGGCAGAGGCGTGGGGGGCCACCTTCATCATTGGCCACTCGTTGCTTCATGTTTGCAGGTTTTAGACATTTATTACGATACACTCTATCCCATTCGAAGAAAATGAGGATCCAGTTTGCCTCGGCAATGGCTTCTGATTCACGGCTTCGAGAGCTGCCGAATCTCTCATTGCGAAGGACCCTGAAAGGAAATCCATCTACAACTAAATCATGTTCCATGTTTCCATTGTTTGGTCACTTTCATTACATAAATCAATTGAGACAAATTCTATACAAATCCTCCTATTGCTGATTTGTATTTACTCATCAGTCCCAATTGCATTCTGACTCTGATCCAATTGGATGGATGGTCCTGGACAAAATGCGTTTTTCGATGAATTTCATCCATATTTCCGCCCACTACCATCCCCCGCACCATGACGCACCTGCCGCCGCGAACATCAGCGGCGTCACCCCCAGCTCATCGGGCTCTGAGGCCAGAGTTGCACGCTGCAGCAGCATACGCTGCACTGCCTGAGTTCCAGCAGTAATGCAGCCAAGGTGGGAAACCTGATGGGATGGTTTATACGACCCATTTATGGCGACTTTGGGGGTGGTTTATTCTTGGCTTTACCACGGGAATCCTCCGTTCCTCCTAATACTAAACACACCCCAAAAAAACAATGCTTTTTGGTTGGGGATTTACACCATTTGGAGACCAGACAATGGGGGTGTTCAATATTATGGGGATGGGATTAACGAGAGAAACAGAACTACCGCAATTACTATTCTTATTAGATATGTGATCTCCTTCATGAGTGCTCATGAGATACTCTTGGATGCTTATGATAATAGTCACCATCCCCAATTGTGGCTGATTGTTGTGAGATACAGGTGATAAAATTGCGATATTATGGAGGCTTAATGGTGGGGATATTAGGAGAAGTAATTACAAGCCCATAAAGCCCATAAAAAATAAAGTGGAATTGAAAGAAAAGATCCACATATGTGGCTTACCATCACATCCATCACTTACTTATATTGGTTCTGCAATAGTGAATATATAACGTTTGATGAATTAGGGAAAGGATGTGTCATCTTGTTGACCCCTGGTTGGTTTTATTGGGTGCCATTTATTCGCAAATGATCACTCTTTGGGGTTGACCCCTACAACTAATCATGCGGGGGTTGTTAATCCCGGTCTGACATTGGACGAGGAAAGATATATCCAGCATTCATCATGAACTCCTCGATGCAAGTGAAAGCGATTGCACTTCTATAATTACATATATACATGTTATTTTTTGATGTTGGATCTTTGGAGTGGTTGCCCTGTGAAAGTTTACAACCATGTGTGCTTCGTTCTGGCCTCTTGGTTCGCTTTTCATGACAATCGAGGCAAGCCGTGGAATCCCAACCCGCTGAGCGCCCGTCCTCCAAATCCCCCAGCTCACAGGCGGCGGCAAAGGCCGAGCGAACACGCGGAGCCTTGCTGCCGAAGCCTCCTGACTGGGGAAAATCTCTGGGAAACCATGGATCAATACCTATACATACCATTTTTAGGGGGTTATTCACATCCATAAATCCCAGCTATTTTGATGTGAACAGAAGGGGTACCAGGTGAAACCCACCATTTTTTGCATCTATAAATGAACCAATTGGTTTTTGTTTGATGTTTCCATGGGGTTCCTGCGACCCTTTACTTGAACCAATTCCATTAAAGACCATTGGAATTGGACGGCTTGGCGATGGCCCGTTCGAGACCACCAGCCGAAACCTGTGGCTTCGACTGCCTTGCAAACATGCCTTTCCTGCCCACATTCGATTTTCGAGGGAGCAAAACTGGAGCCATTCAAGACTAGCTATTTTAGTGAAACTATGTTGAAATATAGGGAGCTCATGATTGTGGGATGTTGTTCGTCAAGGTTCTTTGCGACATTTTGCGACTATCCCCAGCTTTGGATATGATACTGTATACCTACGATCTGCACAGGGCCCAGCAGATCCCCAGCAGCCTCTCCTGGTGACTTACCTTCTATACGTGCAGACAGCTCTTCGTACCTAGCTGATCCATGGGCTGTTGGATCGGCAGGAAAATCCTCTATCAATGGAGGTCTATAGCTGAATCCTTGAACATTGGTCAAACTGACGCTATAAATGGAGGATTTTCCATTGCCACGTTTGATTACTGGAGGATAACCAAATGGTCACCCACAGTCCATCCAGCTGTCCCCAAAAAAACCGCATCCAAAGCCTGCTGGGTCGCTGGGATCTATAAGACGATAGTCACTGCAGAGGCTCATAACTATAGAACTATATATGCCATTATCACCTATATTAGACAAATATAGTGGAAACTATAAATATATAATACTATAGTGGATATATGCCAACCATATTAAACTAATATAAACGGATAATTTCCATTATAGCATTATATATTATAGACCTACGCAATCCAAGAAACCTGTGGGTATCATCAAAGATTAGTTTCACCAGTGGTGCCGCAAAAAAAAACAAGACCAAGCTCCAATCACGACCTCACCTGAAACACCCAGAATTCATGTTCCACTTCACCCCCGTGCTTTGTTTAAAGGAAAACCATATATAATGATATTAATCATATTTTCCTTCCAAGAATCAACATCCCTTAAATCATGCCTTTCAAGAGTCAAAGCATCAGATATCATCAGATATCATCAGATAATATCAAATATCAAATCAAAATAAATCACATATCATCAGATGTTGCTCAAATCGTCCCCATCCCCCACCCCCCATCCCCCAGCGATGGGTTCCACCGATCCACGCAGCTTGGATCTGCTGAAAGAGCTCCGTGACCTCGCGAAGAAACGACACGCTGAAGTCCGAGTCCCGCTGTGCCACCTGGAAGGCGAAACGGGGGGGCAGCGAGTTCCGCTGAAGTTGGCGAATATGAAGTAATTCAATGGATTGGTTTAAGGGAAAATCTACAGGAAACCATGGTTTTTACCATCAAATATAGGGGTTTCCTGTAAATTTTCCCATCATCCAATTCTATGAGTAATGGGATGGCATCTACCCGGCCTGGTCAACGTTTACATAGCGAACTGGAAAATCACTACTTTCATAGGTAAATCAACTATTTTGATGGTCCATGTTCTATAGCTATGTTAGTTTACCGGAGGGGCTTAGGATATATAATATGAAGATGCGTATGTATCTATAACTACATGCTACATATATATCATATATCTATCTGCATATTACATGTCTAAGTGTGTACTTCCACAAACATTTGCATCGGGAAAGAATGATAGAATATGATAGAGCTTAGGACACGCCCAATTCAATCCCTTTTGAAGAGAGAGACCCAATCCGTACAAAGAAAAGATGAAAAACACGCTGATTGCTGCAGTGAGACAACGGGAGACTGCTCGAGTCCAACTCCACGATACAGCTGCTTACAATTGTGGGGGCAAAACAAAACTGTGAGACCTGTACCAAATCAAAGCATTGAAGCTGGTGCTACTGTGTACAGCTTGCATTCAGTATCTGCTAATCAGCTGCATTTTCCCATTGGAAGTGGGGCAATCGCATGGGCCATGGGCTTCACCCCGGCCTTGTCCGGGTGGTGTTTCAAGGCTAGGCGCAGATAGCAGCGGCGCAGCTCTCCGGCATCGCAGCGCACGCTTTGCGGGAAGAGATGCATCACGCGGCCCTAAAACCCGTGACTTCGCCGTGGAAAAATGGCAGTTTAACATAGTGAAAAACCATTTTAACCAGCCAGTCATGGGGAGATGTTCTGCAGATCTCTCCGAAAAAATGGAGCAAACTGAAACGTTGATCAGAGGTATCTGGTGAGGTTTTTGGGGGTGTAGCGAAGGTTTGCTGAGACACTTTAGGAGTTGGCCATATTTGGCCCCTCCAGAAGTGTGGATACCATCCCACCACCAAGATATGGCATCTATGAACTTGAAGAACATCGTTCAAAATTACTTGGGTTGCGTATGGTTGCGTCCAACAAACCACGGGGAGTGTCAAACTCTTGGCCGGTGCCACAGATCTCTTGCATTTTTCTTCATGCCTTGACTCGTCATGGTCAAAGATGTTCAAAGGAACATGTTCCAGGTCCCAATCTACTTACCACTTCTTACTTCATTTGGGTGTGTCTTAAAATGGGCTATATCCCCAATTATGGCCATCAAATAATAGGAAAAATTAGGCTTTAATCCATTGGAATTGGAAGGTTTCCACTGGCAAAGCGCGGAAACACGCTGCTTCAACGGCTGCTAAGTCGTGGTTGTTTTGTGTTGTATAAGTTACGTAGAAGTCATGTATAAATTAGATGTAATTTACAGTACACACACACACATATATATATATATATAGCAAAAAGCAAATGAGACTAAATAAGAACCATAAATAACTCAAACTGTTCTATTGACGGTGGTTTGCAAAACAATCCTCCAAGCATCACCAGATTCCCATGTTTTCACCGCTGGCTCCGATCTCCAAAGGCTCAGTGCCCAAAAATTACGTCATCACGGCGCTTGGCGCTAAGGTCCTCAATGATTTCACCATCGATGTTATCGATATTAGATATCTTAGGATAATTTAGGCTCTTTAGGACTGTCACACATCTATGATGGTTATATCAGTTGTACCAATATCTTTAATATATGATTTCTAGGATGTGCACACGTCATCACACAAAAACATGATTTGTCTCTTCCTTGTTCTTTGCCTTTCCATGACTCAGAACCAGATCGTTTTTTTCTTTGGGACACCGCCCCATGGAGGGCATCGATCTACTGCGCGAGAGTCTCTCGTGGTGCTGGCCGCTCGGGGGCTTATTTGGAATCATCCTAGGAAAGATGGATCATCGATGATTTTTGTATGTTGCTGCTTAAAAAAACTAAAGAATCCGCCACACTGTCACACAATGTCACACATATACAAATGCGGGCCCCCATGGGAACGTTTTCGACCAAATATAGTGAAAAAAAAACGGGTGGATCCAAAATCGAAGTGGGATGATATCGCACCCCTTGGTTTTTTCTGACCGTATACGGTGAACTCTGCAGGTGCCGTAGCCAAAATGAAAAGCCCTTGGAGCGGCCGCCAGCCAGATGGTGCAAATGTGTACAATGTGTGGCCTCTGAGTGGCTGGATGGCCTGCACTGCATACTATATTATAATATAATCATATAATAATATATAATAATTTACCATCAATATATCATCAATATATCATAATATGATATTCAAGCTAGAAGCCAACTCAAGGAAATCTGATGACATCTAATGATCTATTCCATATGTTTCCTGATTGAGTAGTTCTAAACAAACATTGGCCATAAGTCTGTCTTGATCCAGCCTGTACCAATAAAGGTGAGAACGTTGCACAAGTGAAACGGCTCACTGCCACGGTGTGGCGGCTAGCCGGGCTAGCCACGCGTTCCCGGGTCAGGATGAATTCAGCCGCAAACGCCTGGATTTCAAAGGAACCAGGAAGTATGTGATGGGATTAGTGAGGAACACATACGTGGTTGTATATTAATTTCAGGGGCCGGAATGCCAATGATGAAGTGATTGAAGGATCAAAAAATACCTTTGCGACATCCAAAAATCAGATGGCCAAATTTCCATAGATTTCCTACAAATGGGAAAAAGCAAAGCTAATAAACCCTTCAAAGTCCCAAACGCCTTTGTTGAAAGATTAAGGGAACTGAGGGAGAAAGATGCCACGCCTTGAGCGTGCAGTCTGGGCGGCCTGTGGGATCGTGGGCCGAACATCCGAACTTCCACCAGCTTTACCGCTACAAATTACATGATTTTGTAAGATCCAAATGGAAGGTCATTAAACCAGCTACGAAAAAAAGGCGCCATGCCGCCATGTAGAAGAAATTAGCCATTGGTGCTCGAAATTGGTCGGGTAACTGATTCCGATGAGTCCGGATGGGTGTACCGATGAGGGTGTACGCATCTGCCCATCTCCAGCCAATCTCGGCACCTGATGTGGCTCTACCTGGGCTCATGAGGCAGCTGCGACAGGCAGAAAAATCCCAGGTGATGGTGAAATTACACATGGTTGATGGTGGGTTAATGATGAAACAAGACGAAACAACCCATCTGAAGCATATTTTCAGGGACCTATTTCTTCCAAATTGTCCAAAGTCCTGGGAGGACTAAGAACTGGACCATGAACTGGTACAATTCTTTGGCCCGATCCCCCAATGTTGGCTACTTCAGTAATAGGGTGGCTTATATTCAGCATTCAAATTTATGCCCTATAATCTATAATCATAACATCATTTGATGTTTGTATATGTTTGTATCATAGCAACCCCAAAAAAATAGAAAAGTAAAATCCTACTAGTAAGGATGAAATGGCTGTGATTGGCTGTGCATGTTTTTGGCTACCCGCTGGTAATTTAACATAGCTATTGAAAATTGCCATTTATAGTGAGTTTTCCCATTAAACATAGTGATTTTCCATAGTTATGTTAGTTTACCAGAGGGTAAATCCCGGTGACATCCACCGTCTAACTGCAGCTGGAGCTCATTCCTGGCTTGGCGCGTCGGATCATCTGATCCCCACGACGGATAAAAAGCCTCACCACCGGGCAGAAAACCAATGGGTTTTTGCAACCTGTTTTTAGCAGGAAACAGGGACTCCAGTTTCTCAATCGCATCGTGTTCAAGCATGTTCAAACAAGAACGCAGAGTTTTGATATACCAACATGGAACTCCAGAAAAAGTTCAAAGTTTGGAAGGTGGTTTTGCTGTAGGAAAGGCATTTCTTGGCCCCTAGCCATCCCACCCTAGCTGAAACCCAGGCCAAATTTCCAACGAGCTTGCTGGTTGGTGGTTTCAACCCATTAGAAAAAATGATCATCAGCAGTTGGGGGGGTACTGTGGGCCTCATTTCTATCCATATCCTGGCTTGAAAATGACGATACATATCTTCGCTTCAAAATCTACGCTTTACAAACTTTACTCCTTCGTCAAGGCTTGAAATGTAAAACTGTTCTATGAACCGAAAGGTGCGCCATTTTTGAAATGATTTTCGATAGAATATACAGTAATCATTCACCGGCCTGGTCTTCGGCCTTTTGGGAATGGTTGCCCCAGGTTGCCCCTACATGACATTCATGATGACTTCTGGTGACGTCGCGACATGAGGTCGCTTTTTGATTCAGATCCCGTATATATAAACCTGTATTAAGCCTGAATCCCATGAAATTATGGCATATTATGGCTATACAATTCTAGATACCTATGATATCCTCCCGAATCCCCTACGTTGGCTGCTTCGGACCAGATCTCAAGAACCATCAAGAACCCTTTCAAAGAGGCTTCGCCAGCCCAGCAGCGTGGCGGGCGTGGCGCCCGTCACGATTGCTTCCATGGAATCGGCATCGCCTGTGGTGACAGCCCGGTAGCCAGTTCCACATCCTGAAGAATGAAGGGGAACCATCCTGTTACCATCTGGTAATGTGTTACATAGCTATTGAAAATGGATGAAAATGGCCCATCAAAATAGTTGATTTACCTCTTAAAAGTGGTGATTTTCCACAGCGATGTAAACGTTTACCAGGCCGGGTAATCATCATGTAACCATTCAGTTTACCCGGTTACCCCATTCAAATGGCATCAAATGGCAATTGTTGTTGGGAAGTAGACTCCCATGGGCCCGCTCGGAAATCCAAAGGACGTATCCTCGAACTGAGGCTATTTTCCACTATCATCTTCAAACTTCAAACCAAGTGAGGCTATGATAGAACCTACAGGGAAAACATGATTCTAGCAGTCAGATATGCTGGTTTTCTCTAGGTGTTTCCTAAAATAAATTCCTGGATACACGATCTTCTACCCATCATAAAGCTAACCCCTTCCATCTCCATGAAATATCAGCGCCAGCATGGTGGTTTGTTACATCCATCCGCCCCCCCCAAAAAAAAATACTGCAGGGGCTTTGGGATCGTACATGACATATATGACATTCATCCAGCTATTCATCTCCTCCCAAGATTCGGGCCAGCTTGGGGCCTTGTACTTGGTTGGCTCTCCGAATGAACCTTGGTGATTCGCAGGATGCTCCAGGGATCCCCAGGGATCTTCATGGCTTCGTGGCACCACCAGACAGGGCTTCTGCAGAAATTCCCCAGACAGGGCTACCATTAAAATGGAACAACTGATCTCAACAAGTGGATCATGGCCGATTAATTATGGGTGATGAGTAGTGATGAGTGATGAATCATCCCTGTCTCCCCCCCGAGGCCCCGAGGCCCCGAACATGCCGGGCAAGACCACTAAATGAAAGCGTCCCAACCTGGCGGGAAATATGAAGATTCCTGGTGATGGTTGCTTTATGGTTGCTGGGTTTTGGGGGGTCACAATACGTCACAATCACCATTGTGTTTGGGTGTAGAATAGTTTTTGTTGTTTTTTTTGCCTCAGGTTTTGGATTTGTTTTTTGCTTTCTTTCCCAGTACCATTTGCCTTGTATTTGCAACAGTTTTGAACTAGAACCTGTCATTTTGCATGGTATTTGCTACATTTTGGCATGGTCACTTTGCATTTTGCATGGTATTTGCTACATTTGGCCATGTTCGCCTTCCGTTTTGCATGGTATTTGTCACATTTTGGCATTTCAACCTCTCATTTGCATGGTATTTGCTACATTTTGGTGTTTCAAACGTTCATGTGGGTCTCTTGAGGGTTCTTTAGGCTTTCATTCAGGGTTTCATTTAAGGTTTCATTTAATTAGGGTTTCATTTAGGGTTTTATTTAGGGCTTCATTTGGGGTATCATTTAGGGTTTCATTTAGGGTTTCTTTGGAGTGTCATTTAGGGTTTCATTTAGGGCTTCATTTAGGGGTTCTTTACGGTTTCATTTAGGGTTTCTTTAACGTTAGGGTTTCTTTAGAGTTTCATTTAGGGTTTTTTTCCGGTTTCCTGTAGGGTCTCTTATCGGGATTTCTTATCAGGAGTTCTAAACGTTCAAGCGGGTTCCTTTAGGGTTCCTTTTGGGTTTCATTTAGGGTGTCATTTAGGGTTTCGTTTAGGGTTTCATTTAGGGTTTCATTTAGGGTTTCTTTAGGGTTTCAGTTTGGGTTTCATTCAGGGTCCCATTTAAGGTTTCTTTAGGGGTTCAATTTAGGGTGTCAATTTAAGGTTTCATTGAGGAGTTCATTTAAACTTTCTTTAGGGTTTCATTCCAGGGTTTCTTATCAGTATTTCTTTTCACGATTTCTAAACGTTCAAGTGGGTTCGTTTAGGGTTTCATTTAGGGTTTCTTCAGGGTTTCTTTAGGGTTTCATTTGGGTTTTTTTAGGGTTTCATTTGGGGTTTCAATTTAGGGTTTTTTAGGGTGTCAATTTAGGGTTTCAGCTAAGGTGTCAGTTAAGGTTTCATGATGTTTCATGTACAGAGGTGTTTTTTTTCAGAGTGTTGTTTAGGGTTTCTTTCGGATGTCATTTAGGGTGTCATTTAAAGTTTCTTTAGAGTTTCATTTGTGGTTTCTTTAGGGTTCATTTTGGGCTTCATGTAGGGTTTCTTATCAGGATTTCTTTAGGATTTCTTTGGGTTTCACCTAGGGTCTCTCTAGGGTTTCATTTAGGATACAAACAGAGCAGAATATATAAAGCAAACGAAAATAAAAAACAAAGAGACAGTAAAGACAGGAAGCAAAGAAGCAAAGGAGCAGGAAGTAGCGCAGCAAAAGCACATGACTGAAGAAAAGAAAAAGTAGAATAGTAGAAGTAGAAAGGACCAGATAGAAAGGACCAGAAGTACAAAAGCAGAGAAGCAGGGAAAACAGAGAAGCAGAAAAGAAAAGAAACAGGATAAGCAAAAAGCAGAAAAGCAGAGCAGAAAAGCAGAGAAGCAGGAAAAGCAGAGAAGCAGGGAAAGCAAAAAGCAGAAAAGCAGAGAAGCAGAAAAAGCAGAAAAAACAGAGAAACAGGAAAGCATAGAACCAGGAACCCAAAAACAAAACAAAATCTGCCGCGAAAAAAAAATCCAAAAATAAATAGCCCTCCATTGTTTTTTGGGATGTAAGCTATTTGCAAGCTATTTGCCAAACCATTGGCCAACTTCGGGGTTCCAGATGGCTTGTTACAAGCAGCTTGGCCATCCTTTCTCAAGCTGGAGAAAGCAAAAAGGACAAGAACGACACGAGTAAATGAACCAAAACACAGGGCGCATCAGGTTGCACTACATCACAACGTATTACAGCAACATACCCAATGGACCATCTCCAATTTGTTCAATGATCCGAAGACTCATTTTGGACAAAACAGGGCCATATTCAGCATATTCTATTTACTCTGGTGATGAACCATTGATGGATCCCTTATCCATTCCATCTATGCGCATTACAAAATCTCCCAAGCCAGCAACAAGCGCTCGTAGGGGGTGTCCTGCCTATTTCCCCATACAAACCATCGCTTGTGGTGAGGTGATTGCGAGGTTCACGATCGTCATCACCATTTTATCACAGTTTCATCATCATCAGAATCATCAGAATCATCAGAATCAGAATCATCATCATCATCAGCAGCAACAGCATGATCAGCATGATCAGCACGATCATGTGCCTTGTCATCAAAATGCCAGATAAGCTGCGCTTGTTTGTATCCTGGAGCGCCAGAGACTTGACCACTCCGACGCATCTGAACGCCGGCCACCGCGGCGTGCTGAACTCTTGTCAGCCGAACTAATCCAGAAAGGGATCTACGTGCGTCAGAATCATTCCAAGAGGGCGCTGGCAGACTAGGTTAAGATGGTTTCGTAATGTTTTACGGTTCTAAACCATGGTTTCTTGATGTATTTAAAATGGTTTAATAATGTTGAATGCGGTTTTGTTGTTTAAGAACGGTTTCTAACTACTTTGACACCTCACAGAGTTCCAGAATTCAGGTTTGACAGCGCCAGGGTCTACCCAGTAATTTGTCATCGCTTTGCATCCAACTCCAGGTCCGTGTGTCGACACAGAACGTCTGGATGGCATTAGTCAACCACTGAGATTAACTAATGCTCCCATCACCTGCCACATGGAGCACAAAACCAGCTCTGACACCCAAGGTAACCAAGAGACTATCGCTTTGTCTGAAAATGTGGGGAAAACCACCAAATCTCATAGTTCTTCAACATTTTCCTAATGAAATTTGCAGTTTTAAGGGCATATCCCGTTTACAGAGAGACGCATTTTCTGAAACAACTTCGATTGCGATTTCCACAAGCTCCACAGGTGACCAACTGAATGTGCCAATTCCCATGGGCAAGGTGATCTCTACTGGTACTGCGGATGAAGGAAATCCTGCAGCAATTTCTGCCTACGATTCTTATCTGTTATTTTTTGGGGTTTCCAGAAATACAGGATCCGCAAAATGAATGGTTTATAATGGAACATGTTAAAATTCTAAGGGGTAGCCCCATTTTAGGGATTTTAGGAACCCTCCATATATATATATATATATATTATTCCATATTATTCCATATTATTCCATATTATTCCATATTATTACATCGGCTTTCCCACATCGCATCTGAAAGAAAATTAAAGACATCAGTCATGCCACGTGGCCAGTTCGATGAGTTCTATGAGTTGCCTGTCGTGTTTTTGAGGTGACCTGCCGAACAATGGCCCCGGAACGAGAAAAACTGCAGCATCTGCGTCACACTTCAGGTGTGTCCCAGAGCGGCTTCACGTTTTCTCAGTTGAATCAGCGCCAAACCCTTCAAGACATCATGCATGCATAATATGCGCATAGTATGTAACTTGTGGGTTTTGCAGCCAAATTTGTCCGCATGTATTCACAAACGTATGTTACACTGTTACACTGTCTTTGCTATCAGACATAAATACATAAACTGCACGTATAAGAAATCAATGATACAAATATATTACAAATATGCATGCATCGGTGCATCCAAGCATTTTATGCCACTTCGGATGCGAGAGAAGCCACATGGACGAGCGGCTGAAAACTCGAACGGAGCTTGGATCAAATCATTGCAGAGTGGGCCACCTGGGACGAGACTAGTTGGCAATCAATCGTTTTTACCTTGGGGTGCAGCTGGGGTTAGAAGTTGTTATATATATATATAGATATATGTATATGTATATGTATATGTATATATATATATATATAACCAGTGTTAAAGGGTTCGCAGTAAACATCCCGACCTATGGAGGTTACCGTCATTTGTAATGTAATGTAATGTAATGCAATGCAATCCAATGTAATGTAATGTAAATGTAATGTAATGTAATGTATGTATGTGTGTGTGTGCGTATGTATATGTATATGTATATGTATATGTATATGTATATGAGGATGTATATGAATATGTATATGTACATGTATATGTATAAGCATATGTATATGTATATGTATATTTATATGTATATGTATATGAGGATGTATATGAATATGTATATGTACATGTATATGTATAAGCATATGTATATGCATATGTATATGTATATGAATATGTATATGTATATGTATGTATATTTATATGTATATTCATATTCATTTTTATTTTTATACATTTTTATATTTACATTTATTATCTACACATCATCCCGATCCCCTCCCACGAATAACCTCCAAACCGAAACCGTGATTTGATACTTCCGAAACCGAATATGAGGCCGAGGCATTGTGATCCCAGCCATACCGCCGCGGCACGGCTTCGCCGACCCAGGGAGAGGAGGGGGAAGATGCCAGCGATGCCAAGGAGACGCAGGTCTGAGGCGTATCCGGAGTGTCGCCGAAAATGCCCTGGAAATGATGGAGATACTGCGGATGGTTGCGAAATCTTACACCAGTTGGGAACAATGAAAGGTACCTATGAAACACTGTAAATAATGGGATTAGAATGGGAAAAAACCATCTACCAACTGGTGCAGGACTTTTTTCATCGAACTACCATCTCGGAAACATCTGGAAACATTTTGAGTGAAATCATGACCACCCCTCCAAATAATACAGAACAGGATGCCAGGAGGGTCCCAATGTACCACGTTTCAAAAAAAAAACAGTGTTTTGAGGTTTGTTTTAAAAAAACGCATTAAGAAAAAAAATGGTTTGCTATCTAGTTTTCTCATTGAGCACCCCAAAAAAAAATCATCCTTTGTCTTTTGCGAAAAATAGATGTGATTGATTAAATAGAGTTTGATCCCAGGGATATCCAAAAAAACATGTTATATATATATAGTCCCAGGGGGGGTCCAATAAAAATATCCCGGCAAAAGACCCCAAACAGTGTGGGGGAGTGGGAGGATAATGCATGATAATGTGGATGATGATGATGATGATTCAAAACGGCCAAGAACGATTGACCCTGCAATCGACCACACAAACGTCAAAGCAAAACCTATTGCTCGGAAAGCGGTAGCCCCCTTTTGGACTCAGCTAAGCCTCTAGGCCCTGTGACCTTGGTCAAATCCCCAGATGCTGGCTTGAATGATAAAATGCCAGCGGGCAAGAACATATGTGATGGAAACACCCAAGAGAGTGCAGACATGAGAGAAAAGCACTCCTAAAAAATCTTTTGTTGGGTGTTTCGTCTCACATCACAGCTACTGAGTCTGGCGATAACCAGGATAGGACTTTGCCTTTGCTTTCGGCTGGGCATCTCTCACCACGCCCCATTCTTCCTCATTCATCATCGCCTCCTCTAAGTCAGCTGACATTCCTGCCAAACTCATGGCCTGGTCATGTGATCCGTTGAACTCCTTCACCATGAAGGAAAGAAACTTGTTGCGCCACAAAGGATACTCATGCAGCTTTCGGCTTCCCTCGTTCATCAGGTCAGCTACGGCAGCTACAAAGGGTTCGTCGGTCGGAACAAAAACCTGACGATCTTTGTCCCCTTTCTCCACCATTTCTGGCTTCTCCTGGTCACGCAAAAAGTACGACATGATGCCTTCATCCATGAGGTTCTTCAATGCCTGACCCCACCCTTCGCATCCATCTGGCATTGGAGACACAATCTTTTCCTGAATCAAGTCCTTGTAGGTCTTGAGCACTTTGGTCAAAGTGTCTTCCACTCCGTCCAGATATGTGGCACCCCCTGTGATCGCAATCATCTTCGTTGATTTGGTATAGGTCAAAGTGATGAGGTTCTCCTCTCCACGAAACAGCTTGCTGTTCATGGCATGAGCGGAAATCTTGATTTTCACCATCGCCTTGCTCTGTTGCAAGTGCTGCAGGTAATCCTCACCATTCTTGGCGTGAACACTGGCCATCACCTCAAACAGGGCTCTAATCTCCTCCTCCGTGAATCCAACGGCACTCACCTTCACCATGTCAAAATTTCTACGGCTCCCTGACACAAAACACACCTGGGTTGCTTGAGCACTATCAGGAGTAGTTGAAACCTTCAGCTTCCTACTGACACGCAACTGTCTTTGTTCAGCTGCGGCCTGCATATTCGTGCTTTCAGCATGTAGGTGATATTGATTTGTGATCAGTGCTGCTCTCAAAATGTCCATGGCTTCAGGATTTTCTTTGGTCAAAGCATCTGCTAGTTGTATCCATGTAGGAGCCCACCGAATACTACCATGCAACCGCTGAAGTGTCTCTCTCACAATCACAAGGTCAATGGCTACTCTCTTGTCTCCTACGCTTCCAGGTGATGCATAGCTCTGCAAATGGTCATAAATTGACTTACAATCTACAATTGCCTGCAACCCAAAGCTCTCCATGTATTTCTCCCTTTCTGCCAAAGAAAAATCTCTGTACTTCGCTTCCGCAAGATGACAAGCTATCCACTCTGCATGCCCCAAACCATCCATGAGCACTTGACTTTCCCCTGCAAAAGTCGATCCCACAACACGTTTCAAACGATATGATTTCCATGTAATAGGAGCCCATGGAGCAGGTTTCCCACTGCGCAGATTGTCATTTGTTACCCCTACCAAATAACCAGCTTGAGTCCCTTGCTTCTTTGCGTTTGCAAATGCTGCATCTGTGTGTAAAACAAGTCTGAGTTCAGAAAGAGGAATTGCCAAAATCTTCCATGTTAAGTGCTTATACTGCTTGGCTCTTCTAACCACATTTCCGATAGTTCTCGCTTCTCCCAATGTTGGTTTGGGCAACATCTGTTGTCCCTGGCTCACCTGTACGGCCAAATCTGGACGGGTTTCTTTGGCCAACCACAAAGCGCCACCAAGAGTCGATTTCAGAGATGAGGTTTCTTCCTCAGTCACCTCCAACAATGGACTGTCTTTCATACGCAGTTTAGGACGTTGAAGTTTTTCTGCAAGGGACTCTTGAGACACAGTGATATTAAAGGTTTCTTTGCATTGGGACAACTCGGCACCGCAAAAGGATCCGGCATGGAGCTTCCATTTTCTAAATGGAAATTGTTTCTTCAACAGCTTTAAGGATTCTTCAAAAAGTTCCCCTCGCCCTCCAACTAGAACATCATCGACATGCACTCCCATGATGCCTACCAAAGTGTCCCCATCCCAAAGAAGAAAAACACAAGGATCCATCCTCGATTGCTTCCATTTGAGACCAGTTGTAGTGTTGCGGAACTTTCGAAACCAAAGCTGTGGGGAATCATTTAAACCGTACATTGGTCGAATAACCTCAAATAATTGTCCAGGTTCATATCCGGGAAGGTCATGACGTGGAGCATCCATGAAAAGTGGGCCATGTTCTCGTGACAATGCATCTGATTCCAAAAATGCTCCAGTGACGTCTCCTAACTGCAGGACAAAACGAAGGCTTGCAATGATCTGAAGCACAAGAAATCTGCCATTGGCCGATATGGTAGGTGCTTGAGTACGGCCATCTCTTACCAATGAATACAGATCAGGATCTCGATCCCCTCTTGCGGTCCATCGTGCTTTCACAACAAATGTTCCATCTTCTTGGTCTTTCTCTGTAAGCACCAGTCGGCTCGGCATGATTCGGTCCGGATATTGCTGCCGAAGAACTCTCGATTCCTCTAGCGGGATTGGCCTCAGAGCTTTCTTGTCATGAACAACCGTGTTGAATTCTTTCATCCAACCCTGCATGATTCTCTGTTTACCATCCTCACTTCTCCATTTCTCATCTTTCATGTTGATCTCTTTACGGCCACCCACTATCAGAGCATCCGTCTCATCGCATGCCAGAACAAAATTGACATCTGTTGTGTCTTCATTGCTGGAAAAACAAGTGGCTTGTGCTGCAGAATCCTGAACAAAAGAGCATGTAGAAGAAACTGGAATAACTGATCGGTCTGAACTTGAAGATAGAATTTCATTGCTTGATGGTAAATCTCCTTCACTGACCGCTCTTCCAACAGATTGTGGGGGTGATGGCATAGATGGTGGGTATTGCATCCCGCTAACTTGTTGAAATTCCGTTCTTGCTCTCTTTGGATCTGCACTGCCCGCCGCTGTGCTTGCCGGTCGCCGGAGACTGTGGCTGTCCAGCTGATTGGCTCTCGCTGCTGATTCCATCCATTGCTGAAGTTCCTCTCCAGACATCTGACTGATTCGATCGCCCAAACTTCCCAAACTCCCCATGCTGTAACCTGAAGACTCTCTACTTTCTGACCTACTTGACTCATGTAGATCTCCATGTTGTTGTTCTACTGGTTGAGATTCTTCAGCTATGCTGGACAGCGGTGGTCGGGAATCGGCACGGCAATCGGGAATCGCTTCGGAACCCATGGACAGCAAATCTCCTGGTGGTAGATCTTCTTTAGTGATGTCAATAAAGTTTTTCTGAGTACGATTTGATACCCCAACCTCTGGAAACAAAGCTGCTGATGCCGCTCTGAGATCTCTCACCAGGAAACGATCGGCTTCTCGCTCTTCAGTCGTGCGCAGACGAATTTGCTCCGGTGCACACTTGACGAACGCCCCGGGCATGGAAATCCAATAGTTTCCACCAGCACTACCAGCTACTAGGCCAGGTCCCCTCCATCGAGCTGTTGACTTTTTAATACCCCTTCCCCGTCTCCAAATAGCAACCTCGTCACCTGGTCGAAATTCACGATGGGGTCTAGGTCTACTATTGAGGGCAATTCTTGCTGCTCGATGGTCTAGGGATTCCAGCACTGCCTTTCGAGCGGAGTGGCGCGCCGCATGAGAGAACTGAGCAATCGCATCTTCAAGGATGGCACTGTTTGCAATCGGATTGGGTGCTTCCGCCAAAATATCATCACCAGGATATTCAGGATCACGTCCAAAAACCAATTGATTAGGACTATAACCACCTCTTCTCATGATTGAATTTCTTGCTTCAACAGTTACATCCATACATTCCAACCACTCATTGTAATCACTAGGGTTCATCTCATCAATGACCTTGATCAAAGCAACCTCAAAGTGACCCCCTTGACTCTCCACATCTCCCATTTGATGATGTGCTTCACCGGGAATGTCCAATGGTGTCGTGCCATCCCTTTCCAACAGATCCAGAAACGGCTGACCTAAGTTGCAACGGCTCGCATCAAACTTGATGTATCGCGGTCGGCCAAAAGCCCTTGTCCACTGTCGATACAACCTGGCTATTACCTCTGAAGTTTCTGTTTCACGAAAAGGAAAAATCTGTTGAAGACCTGACGCTCGACACACTATGTTGACTGCTTTGATCTTGTAATCCTTTTTCCATGTGGGCAACCATTTGACATCCAAACCAATGTACCTAAGTGGAGCAAGATCTCTTGGTGGAGCGCTGTCTCGCACCGCTTTGGGCATCTGTCTCGCACTGCACAGGTCACATTGAAAAGCCCTCACCATTTCCAGAACCTGCGGTTGAGCATGATGATGTCTGAG